TTTCCCGGCACACTGAGGAGGGAGATGCCTCCATAGTTGATGCAATCAGTTTGGTCCCCATTCTTGAAAGGGGCGACAACCAGGTCATCCCTTCAATCTTGCGGAACCCGCTCTGTGGACCAGATGTTTGTAGTCATGTCAAAAGAGCAGACGGTAAACAATGGCCACCGTACCTCGGCAGCTCGCTTGAGTGATCATCTCTTGCTCGATGCTTTACCTGATCTCAGGCTCAGCACCACACTTCCTCAACAGATGGCAACATCAGCCAGCCACTCACAGGGAGTGACTGACTACTTCCTCCAATATTTGATACACCGCAGCCCCAGCAGAGTCAGCGCCCACCTTGCCCCATGATGTTGTCTGAACTGAGAGGGTTGCCCTGCCATTATACCAAACAGAAATGCTCAGCAAAACCCGAAAACCTATTCCTGTGAATCACCACTCGTTCTCTTAAAATGGTGATAGGTGTGGCACGTTATATCTGGGACGGAATTAAAGAGTGCTTTGTGATCACGCTCTGCTGAGGCAGTTTCCATCTCCTCGGCAACCCGCGACCACCACTCATCCTTGCAGCGCCGCACGGCTCTCCGAGCGAAGGCTGCGGTAAGCCTCCTCATTCTCTGACGTGGGGTGTTGTACACGGTAGGTGTGGGCTTGCTGGTTTCTCTCAGCTAGCTGGAAGACCTCCGTCAGCCAGGGTCTCTGCGGAGGTCTGGACCGCGTACCCAATGCAGGCAGAGCAGCTGCATGATCCACAATCCTGAACCTCACCAATTCCCTTCCCGCATTAGGAAGGGACAATGCCAGCCCCAGCTGCAAACTGTGATCATATGTTCGCATGCAACTTTCATCAGCCAGCCAAGATCAGACTACTGTGGGTTTGAATGGGGTCCTAGATAGATGCCCACAACCACATTGGTTAGAATGGCAGGCGCATCTTACAGATGGCAAGCCGATGGTCAGTGGGCAGATACGGCATCGTGTTAGGTCCTGGTGTTAAGAACGTGGGCCCGCATCCGTTGTTGCCGTCGCTGTATAAGCCAGCAGATGTCCTTGCTTGGCGTGCGTCCAAGATGTTGTGTGGATGATGCGCCGATGCCGGAACGGCGTGTTGGTGATTACAAGCTCATGGGCTGCACGAAATTCTTGCAGCCTCCTACCGTCATTACTGAGCTGATCTGGCCTATGACCTCCAATCGCTGCGGCTCAGATGCCACTTTACAGCACGTTATAAAGATCCCCCGTATAGCCTTGAACGACTTTTGGGGCAAGTGATGTTGGCGAGCACCTATGAAATCCGGCATGGTACACGAGGGGGTGGGTGGTCAGCAACACCCCCGAACGCCTTTGTCTCCCCAGTGGCGATGTATTACACACCCCAATCCAGGTACTCATTTGAGGCTGAATCGATCTAGGGGAGGCCCAGGACCGGTTCAGATCATTCTCACCGCTGTTGGCGTCCGTGAGCGGGAATCGAACTCGCGTCGCCGGGTTCGTAGCACAGCGTAGCGCTAACCACTACACCACTGCTCCACACACACGCACGCACTCTTGCCACGTACACACACACGCGCGCGGGCACACGCGCGCGGGCACACGCGCGCGGGCACACACGCACGCGGGCACACACGCACGCGGGCACACACGCACGCGGGCACACACGCACGCGGGCACACACGCACGCGGGCACACACGCACGCGGGCACACACGCACGCGGGCACACACGCACGCGGGCACACACGCACGCGGGCACACACGCACGCGGGCACACACGCACGCGGGCACACACGCACGCGGGCACACACGCACGCGGGCACACACGCACGCGGGCACACACGCACGCGGGCACACACGCACGCGGGCACACACGCACGCGGGCACACACGCACGCGGGCACACACGCACGCGGGCACACACGCACGCGGGCACACACGCACGCGGGCACACACGCACGCGGGCACACACGCACGCGGGCACACACGCACGCGGGCACACACGCACGCGGGCACACACGCACGCGGGCACACACGCACGCGGGCACACACGCACGCGGGCACACACGCACGCGGGCACACACGCACGCGGGCACACACGCACGCGGGCACACACGCACGCGGGCACACACGCACGCGGGCACACACGCACGCGGGCACACACGCACGCGGGCACACACGCACGCGGGCACACACGCACGCGGGCACACACGCACGCGGGCACACACGCACGCGGGCACACACGCACGCGTACATTATCGCGTTGCGTGAGTGGCTGGATCGAGGCGATTATTGACGGAATTAATCCCATGCAGTAAAATTAATCTCCACGCAGAAAGCAGAGCCGAGATAAAAGGGGGATAGGGGCCGAGGGGTGGGGGGGGCCCTGAGAGGGGTGTCCCGAAGGGGGCATGGCACAGGCGTCACCCATCGTGTAGTGTGGAGGTGGACAGAAAGTGGAGACAGCGCCGTGGCTTATCCAGCAATGCATTCGATCCAGCTCTGTATTGCATTAGATCCAGCATTGCGTTAGATTCTACAATGCATTAGATCCAGCAATGCATTAGATCCATCATTGCATCGCAACTCTCATTACAGTTAGCATTACATTGCAATTAGCATTGCAGCTAGCTTAGATTTCAACCAGCAATGTAACTAGATTTGCATTGTAACCAGCATTGTAACTCGGTTTAAATTGCAGCCAGCATTGTATTGCAGCTCGCATTGCAAATAACATTGCATTGCAACCGGCATTACAACCAGCTTTGCATTGCAACGCGCATTGCAACTAGCATTGCATTGCAGCTCGCATGGCAACTAGCATTGCATTGCAACTCCAATTGCAACTAGCATTGTATTGCACCCAGCATTTGCAACCAGTTTTGCATTGCACCTTGCATTGCAACCAGCATTGCCATTAGCATTGCATTGCAACCAGCATTGCAACCAGCTTCACATTCAAGCTAGCATTGTAACTAGCATTGCAAATAGCATTGCATTGCAAATAGATCCAGCATTGTATTGACTCCACTGGCCAATCAGAGTGTTCGTTGTCGTTGCTCCAGCGCCACTAATTCACGTGACACACGATGCGTGCCCCCGATTGGCCGAATTCCAATGACCCGCCAAACGCAGGACCAATGGTGAGTGCCATGCGCCGCGGTGGCGAGATGTTAACTCCCTCGCCTGATACACAGGAGGTCGTGGGTTCGATCCCGACCCTGACGCCTGCTGCTGTATATTTGGAGTTTGCGTGTCTCTCTCCCCGTGGTCGCATGGATTTTTCTCCGGGTTGTCCGGGGTTTCCCGCCACATTTAGAACATCACGCGTTTAGAATATTTTGCTGCAATAAATGTACACTTAATAAGTCACTGCATTGGGCTATCATTTGTGGCCGAAAAAGAGCTGCATAGCTCAGTGGGCCTGAACTGGTAAAATAAAATAAAAAGATGAGTTTTTTAGATTGGTAAGCAGTCTCAGGTGAGTGTTTAGCGAACGTCAGATAACCATAACAGGAGTACCACGTGACCCCGTGTGTGGGACGGGCTGCCCTCTGGTGTAGAATTACAGCTATAATCTGGAGCTATACTCACCTACACTCATCACTCACCAGCCACTCACCTGACAATCAACCAGACGCTCACTATGCACCCATCACTCGTATGCACTCACCAAATGCTCACCGCACCATGCGTGTATGCGCACGTGCGCTGGTTTGGTTATCTCCGCTGCTCCTCACTCGTCGAGGGCTCTGCGACTCACGCGGTCGCTCCCTCTGGTTGCAACGGAATTGGGGCCAAACATCCAAATAGAGGACCGCAGAGCTTGGGAAATTGTTGCTGAGCATCGGTTCGGGCTGCCTTCACCGCTCGTCTGTGGTCTCCCCCGAGAGAGGAAGATTTTGTCCGCGTCCAAAACACCAGCGTTTTGAGAGGGTAAATTCCATAAATGTAACGGGCTCCTCATTAATCGGCTGAAGACATTTCAAATAAAACGCCCAATGTGACCGCACACTCATGACAAAAAAAATACAATCGCTATTGGAATACATAAAGGAATTAATAACATTGGACGTGGCTGGCAGCCCTCGCCTCCTCTGACCGTCCGTCCGTTCAGCCAGCCAGCAAAACTTGTAAATATTAAATATATATAATGGTATGGTTACGCTATATAGAATTAGGAAACATTCATTGGTAGTCAATCCGTTACTTAATCCTTTGATTAATGAAGTGCCGACACGAATCGTGATTCATTTCCCAAGCAAACTTTGGGCGAGATCTCCGCGTGAGTAGAAAATGCAACGGCTGTGTTGTCGACCCTCCTCCACCCCGACGCAGCAGCCAATACAACAAAATATCAACAAAGTTGTCGCTCGATGAGATGAACCAAATAGCTGGCGATGTATTACCAGAGAACGATCCACACGCGTTTGACGGTGTCAGACGTTTCACTGGTTAGTTACCACCACCAGCAGCAGCATCAGGCGATAAGCCAGAGGTGTGAAGGTCTCCCCCAGTCTTGGAGGCCCGATCACCACCCAGGTCCTCGTCTGTGTGGCGGTGGTGGATGGGTGGGTGGCATATTGACAACAGCACACCTCCCTATTTAAGGCCCAAGATTGGAGGAGAAACGTCGGACCAACGTTATCGGGCAGCAATGCTGCAGCGGTAGCAAATTGGCGCGTGTGTTCATCACGTGGCAACTTTATGTGAATTGGCTTTGTCGGGTGGTGGAGGGTATACGACGCAACGTTGGCATCCTACTCCTGTGGCGATCTGACCCGCAGGATTTAGTAAAAAAATCATTCCACAGGGCTAAACCGACACATCCGTCTCTGTAGCGTATTTTATATACGTTTTGCATAATTTACGTAGCAGTCAATAATCAGAAGCTCTTGTCATATTGATCAATCCAGTCTTGCATCGGAGGCAGCCCAATTTGTGTACAGTGGCGCGACGTTTCGGGCAACGGCCCTTCTGCACAGCACGTGCACCGGTTTAGATAATCACTCTTCGTCAACGCCACTGATGTGAGCCGTGGCAGGGGAGTCGAACTCAGTTGGAATGGCTCACAGCGCCAGGGCGCCAAACCGCTGCCAGCCACCTCTTTAAACCTCAATCCCGGAGTAGCTCGTTCGCCGCTCGTTCGCCGCTCCTTCGCCGCTCGTTGCGGAAGTTCGCGGTTCTAATCCGGACTGCTGCCCCGGTAAACACTGCAGTGGCGTGGCACGAGCTGTAAAATTCGCCATCGTGGACGTTACAGATCCTATGGCGGCATTCGCAAGAGTTGGGCCATTCTGTGCCTGGCGTCACTGTCCAGATAGTTTGCGACAAAACAAAGACACGACAACTTACTCAATTTGGGGATCGCATGCGGCAGCGGCAACAGTCGTCACTCATTCCCCCTGCGAACGCTTTGCAGAACGCGTCCTGAAAATGAGTCCTGAGACTCTGGGAGGCTTCCCTGGGTACAACAAGCAGATAATAATAATAGTAGTCGTAGTTACAATGTTGATTGATTCATTAATTAATTCGCGAGCTTATTCCTCTACCGCGG